GGGCCCCTCCCGGGGGGCTGTGCCCAGGCTTCCCCTGGTGCTGGGGGGCTCCCCTGGGGCCCCCCTTCAGTTGGGACACTGGGGGCTTGTGCTGGTCCAGGTAGGATTTGGAGCTGGCTTTGGGTCCCCTGGTGTTCCCCCCGTCGCTCCCGTCCTCAGTCCCGCCGTGATTCCCCTGACTCTGCTGTTGGACCCTCCCACAACCCTTCCCCAAGGGTCCAGCGTCAAACCAGGGAGGGAAAAACCTCCTCTCCTGCCCCGGGAAGGGGAGCCCGAAGCCAGCCCTGCTCCAGCTGCCGAGCGAGGTGATGAAGGGCACCTCGACGTGATGAAGGGCACCTTGAGGTGATGAAGAGTACCTCGAGGTGATGAAGGGCACCTCGAGGTGATGAAGGGCACCTCGAGGTGATGAAGGGCACCTCGGAGCCTTCCTCCTCCTCAGGAGGGGTCACTGGCACGGAACTGCCCACTCCATGTCTGGGGCACAGGAGCTTCCCACGAGCAGCTCTGCCTGGAAAACCAGCCCTGGAGTGTTACTCCAGCCTCCTGTCCCACCAGGAGAGACTTAATTTGCTTAAGAAACCTGTGTAGGTCTTAAGAGTCGCTTCAAAAACCAGTCCCAGTCCCTGCTGGGGGTCCCTGGACCCTCCCCCAGCACTGCCCACTCCCTCCAGGGAAGAACAAAGAGTTCCTGCTCCCTGTGTTGGTTTTCCAGGCAGCTCCAGCCTCGGAGGGTCCCCAGGCTGGGCTGGGGGTCCCTGTCCTGGGAAGCCCTGTGGGTTTTAGTCCCTCAGACCGAGCTGTCCCGTTGCTGCCCACCCCCAGCTCCCTGCTGGGGCCAGGGCAGAGGATCCAGGGCGTTAATTCCGTGTTTTAATTGCCGGGTTGGTTTTCCCGTGGTTGGTCTGTCGTGGGGACTCGGCTCCGGGCTCGTGGTGTGAGCCAGGGAGGGAAAATTCCTGGCTGGGGACAGTGGGAACTGTCCCAGGCTGTGGCAGGACCCGTCACCTCCTCCAGGCAGTGTCCAAGGGGTGTCTCAGTGCCGGGATTTGCAGGAAATGAAGGGACCTGCTGTCCCAGGACGGGCCGGAGCAGAGCTGGGACAGGGCAGGATGGGGGCAATGAGAGTCCCTGGTCACCACAGGGGGGGATAAACTCGATTTTACAGCGTTGGCTTTGAGCTGGTGGCCAGTTTTGGGGGGGGGAGTG